GATATTAACTCAGAGAATTAGTGATGGATTTTTTGTTTAGTGACGTAAGTTATTTGTTACTAATTGTCTTCTTTTAAAATTTGTAGCCAGTGTGTGGTCTCAAATTAAACATGTCATATCATTCCTACAACGGAGTGTTATTAAGGCGAAACAAACGAAAAATATTGAAATTTAAAAGTTATTAAAATATAGAAAGTAAACGTTTTTCTAGAATCCAACTTAAAAAAGAAGAAAAAGACATATAAATTAAAATTAATAGAATAATTTAGTTTGGATCACCCTTTAGCTAGTAATTTCTTAAGTACACGGAAGTAATTATATAAAGTACTTGATTTATCAATGACAACTATGTATAACCATTTCACACAAACAACTTTGTGATAACGAAAATGACGTGTCCAATTACTCCAAAAATAAAATCGACATGAGAAGTTGATGCTCTAATTGATCTTTGATAATAATAATATTGTTATCAAGAATAGTCAATGTAGCATGTAAATAAGAAACTCTTGAAGATTTAATACGATACTTTATGATACAAGCTGATAATAGTCCTACACCATTTGATATCTTACTCTGATCTAAGCTATGAAACAACGAGATCTGACTAAGCTATTACATTTGAGGTGCACATAATTAATTATAGTAATAGAGTTTTTATTATTTGTATTAAAATAATAGTTACTCCAAAAGGTACAACTATTATTCTTTTTTCATTCTTTCACGTGTTGGAATTATTTGAGAACAATTAGACGTATAACAAAAGAAAATTACACTTTATAGGGTACTATTTAAGGGTAAAAATTATTTGTATTAAATATTTACATCAATGTAATAATAAAATATATAATTTCTAAATCACGTAAATGTAGTAACTTTTATTTGATTCTATAAATATGTTTAGAAAATCTGCTAAATATCTATTACTATTTGAATTGAATCGAATTTGAGATTATTATAAATATTCATTAATTTTAAATCTTAAATACGCTTCCGACCTAATGGATATGTATATCTTTGTGGCTATATATTGATGATGATTATTTTTAGGAAAGGGATTGATGAACAAATTTGAAAGCATGTTTATAATTACTTTAATTAGTTGTAATTGGACGAAACAGGTAGATGGTCTGTTATGTTGTTTGGCTAAATTAATTAGTAGCTAGCTAATAATTTAAATTCTTGATTACAAAGTTTCTCCCACTCAAAAATAAAATAAAAAATAAATTAGTTTAAATCAATTCAATAGCAGATAATGAACGATTTTGAGTTTGAATTTTAAATTAAAGATAAGAACGCTTCTCCCTTTAGTGGGGGTCTAAAAAATATATGGGAATCTTTTAGCTATTTCTCTCCTAACAAAAAAAACAACAAAAAATATTAGTGTGCATTTAAATGATTCATCAAGTTGACTTTACTTCTAAGTATTGCATTTGAACTTGGGTTAACTATTTGATGACTATTGATAGTTTAGGAGGAATCTGAATAAAATATGTTAAATTTAACGGATTTTTAGGTATTTTGTCATTTTAATTTTAATTTTTGTGATATATAATTCGATACCTTCAAATAATTAAAATGTATCTTTTTGATTCCTTACATAAAAAATGTGAAATATTTGAACAATTCTTTAGAAGTGGACACATGCGTAATTAAATGATATAACAATTAATATATAGTTTTGAAAATTTGTGAATATTTATAAGTGAATGGACTAAAAGTGCATGTTTCAATTAGTACTTGAAGGTTAAATGCACTTAGTCAGAAATTACAAAGATTAAAATTATAATTTATTAATAATGGAAGCATAAAAAATGCAATTAAGAAAACAACTTGTTTTCAATCTATATTAATAGCATATCATTATCTATAATAAAATAAAAACATAATTTTAACTTTCTCGAAGAAATAATTGTTGAATTATATTATTAGAAATTTCAGATTAAATTATGTAGTTTCACTAGATTTCAGGTGGGATGTTGTCAACAAATGTTTGGTTTATCAATATATTTAATTTAAAACTATATAATATAATGGTAAGAACGTGCAATGATCCCTAGAAAAAAACGTATTATATATTGATGTGCCTAACATATTTTTTTTTTTGGGTTGATCATTAATTCATTTCATTGTTAATTTAGATTATTTTATTTCGTTTAAATTTAATCCAGTTTGTCTATTTAATATCACTATCATATAATTAATATTTGTGAAAGTTAGAATTAATTTGAACAACACAAGAGGAAAAAAAAGATATAGGAGTAATAGGTAACTTAGATTCATCTGAATCCCCTTCGGTGGAAACTATTACTGTTTATATATGATTAAAGTTATTTTCTAGATATATATAGTAGATGTCGAACTCCCTTCAATTAGTTCATGTGTTTACTTCTTCAGATTTTGAACCACTTATTAAAAATCTTAGTTCTACCCTGATCAGATCCTCTGAAAACCATTATTAATTAAAGTGGAACCTAGAAGACTTAAAATCGTACCTTACATATAATATAAGAAGATAATAACGTGAGAGCACCACTACACCATTCATAAATGTTAGGATTTGTTAAATGTATTACAAAATTCATAATTGAAGTAATTATCGTTAAACTAATTATCATTATCTTTAAACTAATTATCATTATCTTTTTAATAGTGAAGAATCTTGAATGATTAGTTCCTAAATTCTAAATTAATGTACAATCATGATGACCAAATGTTGGTTCCCCACAGAATTTAGTGAAGTTGGAACTTTAAAAAGAAATATTAAAATAATAATAATAATAATAATAATAATAATAATAATAATAATAATAATAATAATAATAATAATAATAAGAAATGCTTTAGGAAGGATTTAAATGAATTTTCTAGCAAACACTATCGTGGCATATGTCATGAATGATCTTAAGGCACAGATACAAATACTTTAGTTAAAGATAATTAAAGCTTTTTTTATGTCGAAGATTATGATGGAATGAATATATAGGAATATGTTCATATTTAATCAGACGTTTCTGACTCGTACCTTGAGAATATAATAAGTATTAAGTACAAAAATCTCAATAATTTCGGTATTAATTACATCCCATCTCAAAAAAATCTCAAATTACAATATAATTATCTCGAATAATTCAGAACCTGCAAATACATTGCTTCTTCGCCCGATATATAGCAAATGATACATAAGTTATGTATACGATAAATAAGTTATGTATCAAATCCATAACTATAAACCAAGTTTATACCGATTTAGGTTTGAAATAATTGAGGTTATATATGTATTAACAATAACATTTGTATCAGATACATTATACACAAACAAGGTTGTAGTGTGTATCTAATAAAGGTGGAGTGATGTATCCAAATGTTAAGAGAGCGAGAAAGAAACAAAGGATTTTTGCAATTAATTCAAATGGTGGGATTTTTTTAAAAGATTATACTATCTTAAGTCGTGTAATTACATAATTTTCTGTAATAAAGATTTGAACAAAAAATACTTCTTCCTTTAATAAAATGGACCTTATATAACGCAAACTCAAATTGATCAGAAATCCAAAGAAAATATTAATATTAACTAAGAAATAAAAGATAATAAATTAAAGTTTCTCAACAATAGTTTCAGTCCACATGAGTGAGATAATTAAAAAGTTCAAACAACATAAATTGCTTATTAATAATTTTGTACTTCTCATTCTAGCAAATCAAGAATTATGATCTTATATGTCAGGAGTTTTATTTTATTTTTCTTTACTAAATTTTGTGTATTTATCATATAAATTAAAATGCAGAGAATATTGTTTGCTTAGAAAATGACAAGGAAAAAATGAAGCACCTATACCTAGCTAGAAAATATAAATAATAGTAGTACATTTTTTAGGTTATATTATTGACTTTAAAGGAACATGATTATATGCCCCCATCAATAATAAATAGCATTTGCTGAGTGTACTGCCTAATATTTTTCTAAAAATAATGAAGAATAATACCACGTGCTTCCCTTAGTAATTTATTCAAAATAAAAAAGACGCATTAAAAATGTTTTAGATTTAATTTATATATACTAACCGTAAACAAACTTTTGCGATATTATTATTATTGTATATTAATAAATGTGCCTTATTTTTCATGTTACTGATGATCTCATTACTATAAACGATTACTTATACTTATCTTTTAGGTGACTAGATACACAATCGACAATTTATTTCTTCTTTTGGTGGGAGAGGTGCCATTTTTTAAATTTTATTTTTCTTGTTACACTATTATATATGTAGAGAATAGTAGGTGAAAAACTTGAATATAGCATATAATAATATATGATGTTGCATCATATTACTCTCTTGTAAGAGGGAGTTTCAGTGCCAAAGTAGGTAGCAGGTCGACGTGATTGCTTTAGCACTTGAGGGTATTTTAGTTTTTTTTTTTTTTTTTTTGCAATTTTTTTTTTTAAATTTGTTTATCATATTTATTTTTTGATATTTTATATATTTGAAAAATACATTAAAAAAATACTATAAATTATGATAATTAACAACTTAAATATTTAAACGCAAAAATTGGACTCTTGAAATTTCATTGGTGCCACATAAATTAGGAAAAAGTAATTCTATCTTGAAATTTGAAAATGATGTAAAGAGTACTATAAATCTCAATAATTAAAAACTTGAATTTTTTTTTAAATTCTATTTGTGTCATATAAATTGGGACAAAAAGAGTAATATATAGTATTATTTAAAAATTACTTTAAAATATTATAAATCATAATAATTAATAATTTAAAATATTTAAAAAATATTTAAGAACTTAGATGACTCTCGAAGTTTCATTTGACACATAATGAGACAGAGAGTAATATCTATTGAGTCAGCATCTAGTATATATTAGTCATGTAAGTATGATTTATTAATTGAAAAAAAAGAAGTATTCTTGGTAATTACTATAATACTGATCACTCATTATATCTCTCCTTTCTTCCCCAATATTTTGTATTTTCATCATCCATGGCCTCTACTACTAATTTCTTTATTATTCTTCTCTTTATCATCTCTTTTTCCTTCTTCTTATTTCTCCTTTCCTACTTTGTTAGACTAAAGTTTTTATGCAAATGTGAAATTTGTCAATGTTACATGACATCAAGTTGGTACCCTCAATTCACAAATTTATGTGATTGGTATACTCATCTTCTTCAAAAATCCCCTACTAGAACTATTCACATCCATGTTCTTGGTAACACCATCACCGCAAACCCTAAAAATGTTGAATACATGCTCAAAACAAGATTTGATAATTTTCCAAAAGGGAAAAATTTCTCAACTATCTTAGGTGATTTTCTTGGTAGAGGTATTTTCAATGTGGACGGAGATTTATGGCAATTTCAAAGGAAAATGGCTAGTCTTGAACTCAGACGAAGTTCAATAAGATCATTTGCATTTGAAGTAATGAACACTGAAATCCAAAATAGACTTATCCCATTATTAGCTTGTGTTGCTAATAATAAAGATAAGATTTTGGATTTACAAGATGTTTTTAGGAGATTTTCTTTTGATTGTATTTGTAGATTTTCCTTTGGATTAGATCCAAAGTGTTTGGAATTATCACTTCCAATTTCACAATTTGCTATTTCCTTTGACTTAGCTTCACAATTATCAGCTAAAAGAGCTATGCATGTGTCTTCAATTGTATGGAAAATCAAGAGATTTTTCAACATAGGGAGTGAAAGGAAGTTGAAAAAAGCCATCAAATTGATTAACATACTAGCACAAGAAGTCATAAGGCAACGTCGAAAATTAGGGTTTTCGAATCATAAGGATCTTCTATCAAGATTCATGCAAGGGGATATCGTCAATGAGATGTATTTAAGAGATATTGTGATTAGTTTCCTCCTAGCTGGACGAGACACGGTGGCATCTGCATCAACAAGCTTGTTTTGGCTACTCGCGGAGAATCCACGAGTAGCTGAGAGAATTAGAGATGAAGCAAATGAAGTTCTTGGACTAAATCAAGAACTCAGAAGTTGTGAACAATTGAGAGATCTTCATTATTTACAAGCATGTGTTTATGAGAGTATGAGACTTTACCCTCCAATCCAATTTGATTCTAAGTTTTGTTTGGAAGATGATTTTTTACCTGATGGGACTTTTGTTAAAAAGGGAACTAGGGTTACTTATCATCCTTATGCTATGGGAAGAATGGAAGAATTATGGGGAGTCGATTGTTTAGAATTCAAGCCAGAGAGATGGATTAATAAAGACGGTGTTTTTTCCCAAGAAAACCCTTATAAGTATCCAGTTTTTCAAGCTGGGGTAAGGGTTTGTTTGGGTAAAGAAATGGCTCTTGTTGAGCTTAAAAGTATGGCTCTTTCATTCCTCCGACGATTTAACGTTGAATTAGCTCATCCATCACACCATATTCCTCGATTCTCTCCTGGTCTAACCACCTCATTACGTGGCGGTTTGCCAGTGTTTGTGAGAGAAATTAAGAATACTACTTAATCTTGAAATTAAACTTGTTTTTGCTTGTTGAAAAATGTTTGTAGTATCAATTTCTTTCAATGTGATTCAACTTATTTATGCAACTTTTTTTATACATCTATAGTTTCTAGCTATGAAGAATTTGTAGATGCTTCTCTTTGTAGTGTAGTCCTTAATTAATGGACTCAGTTAGCACTGAAGTTTTCTAGTACCCCAATTCCTCCGTCCCATTTCATGTGACAAGTCAGTATGAATTCAAACACATAAATTACAAGTTATTTGAAACAGACTTTACATATTTAAAAAACTAAAATAAAAGTACTATAACACACTTTTAGTAATTAATTACAATTTATGAGTTCTCCCTCCTGGATTGATCTTCTGGAAGTAGCTTCTCTACTTTCTTGAATAGTGGATAATCTGCGTACGTTTTATCCTTCCTAAGGTACTTAACTCTTTTCTTTCGATTTATTCACATAATTGAAACTTAACTCTTGATTTTATTTTATTTTATTCCCGGAGCGATGTTATTCTTTAATGCAGTATTTATTTGAATACATTTAAAAAAAATTACATCACCATTATAATAAATCCAAAATCACATGAAAAACCATTATTTCAGCATGTGTTTTATGAATTTAAAAATAAAACACACACAACAGAGTAGTGTACATGTGGAGGGTAGTTTAATAATTTAGGCCATAAAAAGTCTTACTCCTATTAAATAAAAAACAATAGGACAACAGACCATTAATCTAATGTCCAACATAAAAAATTAAAAGCAAGACAAAGCTATGTTTGTTAATTTTTATAGTTATAAAACTCAAAATTAAAAATGTTAGATTCTGGTTTTCTGAATTTATGTACGTACAATCAGTGACCTAATGTGGTGGTTCCCCTACAAAATTTAGTGAAATTAAAAAAAATTATAATTATTTTAAAAAATAATTAGAGATGCTTTATTGGAAGGATTCAAATGAATTTTCTAATCGTGGCATATGTCATTAAAAAAATGACCATGAGGCATAGATATAAAATAATTTAGTGAAAGCTAATTAGGGTTTCACGATCATCGAGAGTTGTGATGAAATAAGCTAATTAAAGCTTCGCAATCATCAAGCATTGTGATCGATGAAATAAGCTAATTAGCATTTTATGATTATTAAAATTGTGATGGGATGAACATAATTTGTGCATATATATATTATCACGTGCTAAGAGTAATTTTTTATACAAAGGGTTTTTCTTTGATAATTTTCAAACAATGCAAATTTAAATTACGTAGAATCTCAAAACAGATAACGTACGCTAAATGAAAAATTAAAAATATTAGAGCGTCTCAAGAATACACGAGGGAGTAATAATTTCAATCCACATAAAGCAAACTGTTTGTTTAAATATGAGGAAAAGTTAATTATTTGAAGTTAAAATAATGTTCTTACCTCATCAAATTATTATACTGAATACATTATAATAATGATAATAAAAAAAATATAGAACATGTTAGCTTGTAATTGAATTATATCTTTAATTTATAGAGCAATTTCCCCTTTGTTTTTAATAAACTAAATAAGCTGACCAATAAAATGTATCACTAATTTTATTTAGCAATTAATTATCAAAAAATATATCAGATACAATAATAAATTAGCAACAAAGTTCATAGTTAATTTCAATTTTTGAAGTATTTTCATGATTACCAGACCTAGAATGTGAATGCTACAAATCAATGTGATCATATTATATATGTATAATATATAGTACTATTTCTGCATTTCTCTAATTAAATTTGACACATACAAAAAGAGATATAATAATCGAACGTGATTCACTCTTTAGAAGGAACTTATTACTTGCTTGTTATATAAATATATAAAATTAACGAAAAAATAATTTCATACACAAAATATTCTATGTTCACGCGAGGTTCAAATTATAAAGGTTGTCCCTCAAAGATATGACATTGATAGCCTACCTTAGTATACTCAAAACTTTAGTTATCTATAATTTCTCCAAAATTCAGAAATATGAGAAAGAAGCTATAATTAAAGAATATATTATCATTATATTATTGAATGTGCCTTTAGTTACATGGAATTTTAATCATGACAATAGTCTTAAAAAGTTAGAAAAATAAAAATTGTACAAGTGTTGTCCATGTCAGTACCAAACATGTTGGCCACTATCAATGGTGGTCATTGCATAAATTTTCTTTTGATGAAAAAATAATAATGTGATTCAGTACAAAATTTATAATATCCAAATGCTTGAATACAATTGGTCTGCCATATAAGCTAATGGGATTTACACATATGGCCCCTTTCTATGTCTCCCATTTAGATTTTATTCCCATTTGAAAATTAGATTCTGGAATTCCGAAATTTTATTATCAAACATATTTTTCAAAGTATAACTCTTAAAAAAAGTGAAAAATTTTCGTGACCAAGCAAAGATCGTCGAGTCTAATATTTACTTATTTATTACTCAACCTTACAGACTAAATATTAGTCTGTAATCGAACATTTACAACAACTTATTAAATAGTATTAGACTTTGATCTAACATTTTCTTACAATTTTTTCAATTTTCTTGAAATAAATCTCTAAACCAAAATCATTTATTAAACATCTCAAGAAGGGAACCCCATGAAAATTGACACAACATTAAGGATTTTAATTGTCTTAACAGTACTATGACCAACATATAATTTTTGACTTGATAACTTGACGAATTTTATGATGATATTGTTAAGATGTAATTTGGTCTCCGTATATGGACTTGGACAAATCTCTTCTCATGAGCTACCTTTTGGGGTTGAGTTAAGCTCATGTGTCATGTTTTTACATGGTACGTATCAGAGCCAGACCCATCATAATTTGTTGTTCACCGATATGATGGGCCCCCATTTAGAAGTGTTCACGTTCCAGTTGAGGTCTGGGCGTGCGGGGGAATGTTAAGATGTCTCACATCGGTAGAGGGATTAAAATTTGGTCTCCTTATATGGACTTGATCAAACCTCCCCTCGATATAGCTTTTGAGATTGAGTTAGTCCCACATATCATATCTCTACAGATATTTTATTAAGTTCATGGCTAATTTTATGACAATTCTTTTGAAATGAATATTTTAAAATAAATATTTTTTTAACGTCTAGACAAAACGCGCAAATATCTTTTATTTTTTATTTAGTACCCCTTGAGTACAAAAACTTTAGAACTAATAAAGCATAACAACAAACATATTAAACAGACTTACAAAACTAGGAATTACATTTAATAAAAAACACTAGAGCACACTGATTAAATTAACAAAACTAGAAATAAAATAAATAAAAACATTTAATTAATAAACTACAGGATTTTTTGAGTGAGAGTAGATTTCAAGTTAGTATAAACAGCATGCCATCCAGCTTCAGTTGGATGAACTGTGTCCCAAAAAAATGCAGATTTTGGATCATTGCACACTGTATACATCTTTTCACCTTTAACATTCATACTTCCACATGAATATTTGTTGCTTATTCCCAAACAACATGGCTTCAATGGTGTCTCGAACCTTGTGCTTCCTGTCAGACGAAATCAAGATTTTAAGTTTATGAATTTTGTATACTCGAAATAGATTTTTTAAATAATTGAAATGTGAAACATCCTCCAATATTTGGAATAATGTTAAAATTTGCTTGATTCTATAAGTTTGACCTTTTAATTCTTGTGGTAATAGAAGGAAATTATGAATTTATAACAACCCCTAGATTCGCCTTTTAGGCATCCTCCCGTTAATATTGTCTAATTCAGATTCATGTCAGATAGATTCACTAAAAGGACAAAACGCTCCAAACTAAAAAATTCTACATTTGGAGGGCCAACTAATTGGACCCAAAATCTTTGCTTAGAAGTGAAAGGATTTCAACCATTCCACGACCTTATCTACAGGGGTTCTGAATGACTTACAATTTGTGTGGTGGTGGGGGGAAGGGGGGTAGAGAAGACGTTTTCTCATTTAATAAGCCTTACATTGTGCAATTCAAATAGTTGAGGTCCAAAAGCGGGTATAAAACACACAACCTTACTTTGATTTGAACCTCTCAAAACAAAAGGAAAATCAGGCTAGGAAATGACTCATTTATCAATCCGGTTATTGGACCCTAGACCCACCCTATACATAGGTATGTCATAAGATGTGTTTCATTCAAAAGGATAAATTAGACTTTTTTTCAATATATTTTTTCAAAACGAAGCAGTGTCGAGTAACATACCTTGCACTCCTTTACTTGCCAGCACAGAGTTGAAAGAGCTAAAAAGATCAAGAATCACAAAAGTTGAACCCATTGTCTCATTGTTCAATTTTGCCACAGCTTGTTGCAATAGTGAATTGTGAAGATCCACAGCAATATTTTCAGTAGCATTGCATTGTTGAAATGAATTCAAAATTGTGCTTTGTGGAAGACATCCTAATGGTTCCAATGCTGTCACTGCTATTTTTTTGGCACCTAATTTGTTGACTCTTTTCATGTTTACAACTAGTTGATTTACCACACTAGTTATGAAAGCAGGAATATCCTACAAAAAAAATAACTAGTTAAATAACATGTATGTAAAATCTTGCTCGGACTTATCGAATAATGTTGTTGCAAGTCATGTTAGATCTTTCAAAAATGCACTATTTTTGGAGGATCCAGCACGCATAGGATAGTAATTTTGAAGAGTCAAAGTAACATAACATAAATGCATATAACAACATTACAAGTATAAAAAAAAATTGTGTTGCTCGGATTTTTCAAAATATGTTGTTCTCGTCGTGTTAGATCTTCTGAAAAATGCATTATTTTTCGAGAATCTGACATACATAGGATGACAATTTTGAAGAGTTCGAGCAACATAGTATAAATGCAAATTAACATGCAAAGGAAATATATGTTGTTCGGACTGTTTTAAAATGTTGTCGTACTACTCGTGTTAGATCTTTCCAAGATTTATTATTTTTGAAGGATCCAACACATATACGATGACACAACGGGACCG